GGGGAAGAGGAGGGAGGGGGAGGAGGAGGAGGAGGAGGAGGAGGAAGGGAAAAACCCGGCCCCCGCCAGAGTTTTTCACGTGTACAAGTTGACTCCTCCCCCGTCCCTCCCGCCCTGCCCACAGCCGCTGCCAATCCCCAGGGCTTCCTCTGCCCAGGTGCCCACCCCTTTCTCCCACTCTGGGAACCAGGGTCCAAGTGCCTCTTCCGGTTTTGTTCCTAGGCCTGGCCTCTGCCAGCCCTCTGGGGCTGGCCCGGAGAGCCTTAACTAGGCGATGAGCCCCTCTGGATCCGAGCACCCCAGGACTGGGGCCAGACCACCAGGGGTGATTTGCTGACAGTGCCTTTCTCTAAAGGTAGCTTTCCCACCTTCTGAGTCTGATCCTGGATCCCCGCACCGGGCACCCCAGGAGCTAATGCCCACAGGCCCGTCCTGTTGGCCATATTTGCCTTTAGTGCTCTTGCAACAGTAGCCCTAGGGTTCTCCCTCTGCCCTGTCCGGTGGGACTTGTCACTTAGCTTTTGGGACCAAGCTCCCACCTGGTTGACCCCACCTCTCTGGGGCTTCAATGAAGCTTCACCACTAGCCATCACCCCCACTTCCTACCCTGAAGGGTAATTCAGTTTGTCCTTTTGGAATTAAACCCCACAGGCCAACTGAGAATCATCCAAGAAACCTTACAGAATAGCTAGCGCTGGTCCAGCTTTCATTTTACAGAAGGGGAAACTGAGGCCCAGGAAGGCGATCGGACTAGCCCAACGTCCCACAAAGAGTTAGTGGCAAACCACGATTAGGACCCAGGCTAATGGCCACTCCATCTAACTTCAGAGATCCGAGAAGACTGGGAAGCAGTGAAGGGCACAGTGGCCCCACCTGGGCCCCGCCCAGCCCTGCTTCCTCCTGAAGGCTGTGAGGAGAGGGGGTGGTATCTCAGATCGTATGGGCACCAAACCAAAGAGGTCTGTGTCCTCTGCCTTGCCGGGGGGCATGACCTCTGCAGTCTGGGGGTCCTCATGGTGTGTGGGAGAGTGTGTCTTGAGGAGGGTGGTCCACAGTGTGGATGTGTTTCCTTTCTGGAAGCCAGGGGCCTGAGGTCCATCTCTCAGGACCACCATCTGCCCTCCACCACCAGCCCGCATCCAGCCTACAACATGGGATCACTCCAGACTCCAGGAGGGCTGGAGATGCAGAAAGAAGGAAGACCCCAGGTGCTTGCAGGTGAGTGACTTGTGGGTAGGTCAGCAGGGGCACCCTACAAAGGGCCTCCCAACTCTGCTACCTCTGTTTTCTCTGCCAGGGCATGCAGATTACCTGGGCACATGCCCTCTAGAAAAAGAAATCTGCCTAGTGCTGAAGAGGTGCAAAGAGTGGATGGATCCAGAGCCTCCAGACTTTGGGGATAGTAGGCTGCCGGGCTCCATAATCCACGTGTATGATAATAACACAGGAGGCAGAGAGGCCGGGCAGAGGCAGGAAGGGACAGGGAGGGTAGGGGAGAGGGTTATGGCTAAGAAACTGTGGGTACTAGAGGATTCGAGAGAACGGGGCCAAAGGGTAGAGTTTCAAGGAACCAGGGGAATGGATGAGGTCAAGAGGTTTCAACAAAAGTTTTCTGAGCATGTCTTGTATGCCCAACAACAGCCAGGATGCTGGGCACAAAGGATAGACCGAACACAGTCCCTCGGGAGCTCATGGTCTAATGGGACAGGGAACAAGAGTCGGGATGTTGTAGGACCCAGCTTAGACCTGGGGCTGCCTTCTGCTGCTTGTGCTGAGGGTCTCGGGATGAGAGGACAGTGGAGGGCAGGAAGGGGTTTCTGTTTTCCCAGGAAGCGTAGGTAACACCTGTGCAGAATTCAGGGATGAGAGGCCAGAGCTTAGAGAGGCTGGGACCGGAGGTGACACACAGAGGGAGGCAGGGGTTGGGTTCTGAAGACCCTTCTAACATTTGCTCTATCTGGAAACTACAGGGCAGTGTGGAACATTTCAGGGGAAAGAGAAATCACCAGGTCTGTGGTGTAGGATGATCCCCCAGCCAAGAGGAGGACTGAGGGTGGGGCACATCTGGAGACGGGAACCCCAGTTTGCAGGTTGCTCCCAGAGAAGGATGATGCAGGCTTAGGCTGGAGCAGTGGCAGCAGGGAAAGGGGAGGGGACTGACTCGAGAGATAGTTTGGAGCCAGGATCACGGAACTTTGTGTCTGTTTGAATCTGGAAGATAAGGGAGCAACCTCTGGAGTGATAGACCAAGGTGGAAGCTTCTTAGGGACGCTTTGATTCATAGAACCTCCTTTTATTTGTTGTGTGACCTTGGGCAAATGACTTAACCTTTCAGAGCCCAGTTTGCAATCTATAATACAAAGATACTAAAATTCATCTTGTGTGGTTGTTGTATATATTAAAGATAATGTATGCCAAAGCATAGGCTTAACTCATAATAGGAATTCAATAAATAGTAGATGTAATTACCGTTGTTTGTCCTTGCCACAGGCATTTGTTGAGGATCTGATACGTGCCACCGATTGTCCTTGATCTTTGGGACTTAAGTCTCAGTCCCTATTCTCATGTAGCTCCCCATCCAGTAGGGAAGAGATATGCAGAGAAACAGTCATACAGCAAAGCAATAGGGACTGGGGCAGGGGAGGAAACTGTGCCCAAAGACTCAGGGACAACTTCACAGAGGAGAGGTGACAGCTTAAGCAATGTAGGGCCAGCTGTCTCCTCAGAGATTGTCATATCATGCCCCCCAACCCCCCACTCCCTGACATGGGATTGAGTTTCACAATCTGAAATGTTCAGTTTTGAAGGCATTTGTCATGTTCCTTGGGGTTGGGAGAAGGGGGTGGACTGCAGATGGGTGTCTATATGGAACCCAGGGAATGGTTTGCAGAACCTCAGCAGCCCCAGGGAAGGGCATGAGCAGATGGGCAGTTAGAAGAAGGGAACGAGGGAAGAGCGAACATGGCCATGTGGGCAGAGCTTGCTAGCTGGATAGGGAGCCTACGTGTGTGTGCTCTTTGGGCCATCCTAATTTTTCTGCTCCCTGTCTGTGCCCTTCTAAAAATTCCCTGCAAAACCATTTGGTGTCCCTCGCCGTGCCTCCCATGCCGATTTTCTTTCCACATATCTCTCAAGGAGCCCAGCTTAGTAGAAGCAGCCCTACCTGGTCCTCCACTAAGGAAGGACTCCTGCCCTCCTGCCCCACCGAGCAAGACCTTGGGCTTTACAGCCACATAGTCTGTGACCTCTCTGATTTTCCAGTCTGAAACGTGGAGATAGCAATAGTCCCTTTCTCTTGGGGCTGTTGTGAGTTTCCAATGTGATGTAAACTTGGCGCCCAATCAATGCTTGTTTCTCTTCTCTGCTCTATAACAGCCTCCTTGCAGAGGGTCCGACAAGAGACTCTCAGCTAGGGATGTCCCCTGGCACACCGGCTTCCAGGGCCCCTCCCCTATAGGCCCTGCAGACCCCTTCCCCTCTGCTAGCTTAAATGGTCACCAGGGCAGTGCTGGCAGGATGACAACGGGGGCCCAGCCGCAGCCCAGACCGCTCCCCCGCTCCAATCCTTGCTGCCAATGACATGCCACTGCCCTGCAGATAGGACAGGCGTCCGCGGGTGCCCAAGGGCTGAGTGGGGAAGCTGGAAACAGCTCTCCCTCACAGACTGTGTGGGCAGTGCATTCAAATAGCTTCTGAAAAACCAAAGTTCAAGCCCGCCCCACTTTCCCCGGGGCGGCACAGCATCCAGACAGGGAGAGTTCAGCCAACAGAGAATCTCCTTTCTGCACGTTGCTGCAGGCTCTCCTCCCTTCTGGTCCTGTCCACACACAGGCAGCACAGTCTTCAAAAGCACTGCGGGGACGCTTGGGACTCCCAGAGATCTGACTCTGCCCCTAAGGTGCAAGAGTCCATTTCATTGATCTGGGCCTCCGTTTTCCTCCTCTGAAAAATGGGAATGATGTGAGAGGCATCTCCGGAGGGTTCAATGAGAGGGTGAATGTGAAGGTACTTTGTAAACTCTAAAAAGATCTGCATGCATATGAGATCATTAGTGTTTGGCCAAAGAGACCTTCTTAGGGTTCTTAGGAGACAAGTGAAGACCAGAGAAATGAGAAACGAAGTAAGAACACAGGGACACTCGGGCGCCTGGGTGGCTCAGATGGTTAAGCGTCTGCCTTCGGCTCAGGTCATGATCCCAGGGTCCTGGGATCGAGTCCCACATCGGGCTCCCGGCTCAGCGGGGAGCCTGCTTCTCCCTCTGACCCTCTCCCCTCTCATGCTGTTTCTCTCTCGCTCGCTCTCTAAAAAATAAATAAAATCTTTAGAAAAAAAAAAAAGAACACAGGGACGCTCTCCCCAAGAACCTCGGGAGCGAGATTGGCGGCAGGGACCTTAGCCCATGGACCAAACCCCGGTGGCCTAGCTCCTTCCAAGCGTGCTAGTCAGTCAGGACAGCAGGACGTGGCTGGACCCAGCCAATTCTTCCTCCTCCTCTGAATAAATCCAGGCCATTGTTTCCCAGTGACTTCTGGAGAGTGGGGACGATTAGGAGACAAATGTCATTTACCTGGTTCCAGTGTGATTCCACGACAGAGCCCAAAAGTTGCCACTTTGTCACTGCGCCGAGCATCACGTCCTCCCCTCGCTGCTTGTGCTAAACGTACAGGTATGCATGTCCTTGTGCATGTGTGAGTACACACACACACATGCGTGCGCGCGCTGTGTACAACCGCTCCAGACTTCAGATGGAGCAAAATCTACATCCCCAGAGGGTTCCAGGAGAGGGTGGGCACATAAACAGAGTAAGCCAATCACAGCCCTGCTGACCCTAGCAACCATCAAACCAGTTAGAGCCCCACCCCTGAGTCCAGCAGCGCCTCCCAAACACACCACAGACACACACAGGCACAACCTGCATTGCCATGGTGACGAAACCATCCCACAAAGCAGGGAAAATGGGAAAGTGGCCCTTAGCCACATGACCGGACCAGCCACTGGGGTGAGCATGCAGGCAACAACTGGCTAGCATTAGGTCGCTCTGGGGAGAGGGTCTCCATGCAGGGAGGGGAAGAAAAGAGAGTTGGTTCATCTGGGCTTCCTAAGTCCATTTGTTAGCCCTGGGCCTCACTTTGCTCACCTGTAGATGGGGTCGAAGACATGCTCAGCATGTGTATTACATAATGGGCTTGTATTATAATAAAGAAATTCCTTTCAATTGCTAAATAAGGATAGGAACTATAGGTTCTCTTTTCAGAAAAGCTTAAGAATTTTGAAACTTCTGGGTAAAAGAAAGCTGGCTGATCCCCAGAAAGACCCTAAAATCCAGCTCATGAGCTCGTTGTAGAGGTGGACCTCAATTCAGTTTGAAAACATTTCCTTGGTATCTACCACATGCCAGGTGCCGATGTGGCTTCAGCTGTGGCCAGGTGGACTGTGAGGGGCCTGCAGAACATGTTGGTGGAAACATCTGGAAATGTTGGGGAGGTCTGTTGGATAGGTCTGGAACAGGTGCTTATAGGGGTGGCAGATTGCCTTGAGGAGACTTTGCTCAGGGCCAGGGAAGAGGGCTGAAGCTCAGACTGTGCGGGCCTCCCTGGCAAACTGGCTTCTGGCTTCCATACCTCATCACCTTCCCTTTGGTCAGCTACCAGAGAGATCTTAATCCAAAATGAAAATTTGACAAAGGGCTCCTCTGCCCAGCTGCTCCTTCTCATGACTCCCCAACGGTGGGCCTTGGGTCCCCTCCTTCAGAATCTGAAGAAAGCTGAGGGATTCCCTTCCTAGAATCAAAAATACACGTGCCTGGCGTTTTCCATTCATTTTTGGGAGCTATGGGCCTCTCGAAGCTCATTCATGGACTTGCTCCAAGAGGCATGGCATAGGAAGCCCCATGTGGCTGGCTTCTGCCTCCCTCATCAGCTCACTTTGTAGCCCCCCCCCGCCCCCATCATTGGTATGTGCCGGGCCACATGAACTCTGTGCACTCGCCTTGCACGCACCTCCGCACTTCACTGCTTCATGCCTTTGAGCATGTCCTTCCCACCAACTGGAGAGAATTCTTCCTTTCACCTGTTACCTTGTAAACTCCTGTTCGTTCTTCAAAACCCTGTTCAGGAGTCAATACCTCATAGTGTTTGATGCTGGCCGGACAGGCTTGATCACTCCTTAGTGTGAAGAACTCCTCTCACTGCGTGTCTCCCAGTACATGGGGGATCCATGTCTTTCTTCTTTACTGGGCTTTCCCAAGACCAGACGCCACATCTTTAGTCTTTATATCCCTAGTACCTAGCATGTAATAGGTCTGGAGAACCCAAATGGCAGGACAGAATTGGCAAGAGGAAACGGCTGACAAAGGAGAAGAATGTGCATGCCTGGAGTTCGGACAGGAGCCAGGAGGAGAGAGGGTATCAAGGAGGAACGAGGTATCAGGAGGAGCCTGGAGGTCAAGATGGTTAAGGACTGAGAGGCATCATTGAATTTGGCAACGAGGAATCCATTGGTGGGGTAACCAATTATCCCAGTTTGCCTGGGAGTCTCCCAGTGCTGGAATTGGAAGCCCCAGGCAAACGGAGGTGGTGGGTCAGCCTGGATCACTGACCCTGATGAGGGCAGTTCTGGAAGCGGGATTGGGGCAGAAGCCCGCATGCGGCAGGCTGGGGGGGCGACTGGGAGAACTGGTGACTGCTGAGCCCGTGGGCTGGGCCGGGGCAGGGGTGGGGGGCCGCAGGAGCCTGTGGATGGCACCAGCCTCCCAGCCCATCTGTCCCGATCCCACTGCCCCGCAGAGAAAGCGAACAAGGCTGGCGACAGGAGCATGGTGTACACCTTGACGACATCTTCCCGAAGGGCTCCAAGGCCCCCACCACTGCCACCCAGCTGACCCTCCCCACCACCCCAGTGCCCACAGCACCAGCGGCCTTCTGTCCCGTGTCTGTAATAATTTGTCCGGTAAGCACAACGGATCCAGCTACTGGTGGACTCTTCTCCTGAGCTGTTATTTAAAATCTTTAGTTTGTGTTTCTTGTTCAACTAATTAGATTCTGAACTTCTATTTTTTTTTTCTTTTTTTTTTTTATTAATTTTTTTTTATTCTTATGTTAATCCCCATACATTACATCATTAGTTCTAGATGAAGTGTTCCATGATTCATTGTTTGTGCATAACACCCAGTGCTCCATGCAGAACGTGCCCTCCTCAATACCCACCACCAGGCCAACCCATCCTCCCACCCCCCTCCCCTCTAGAACCCTCAGTTTGTTTTTCAGAGTCCATCGTCTCTCATGGTTCGTCCACCCCTCCGATTTCCCCCGCTTCATTCCTCCCCTCCCGCTACCTTCTTCTTCTTCTTTTTTTTTCCTAACATATCTTGCATTATTTTAGATTCTGAACTTCTTAAAGGCGGGGGTCATGCCCTCCCTCCCCGCATCCCTTGCTTCCTTCTTTCCTTCCTTCAGGAAACACTAATTAAGCACTGTTTATCCGGTGGTCAAGGTGACGGGCACAGTTCCTACCCTCAGGTATCTCCATGTGGGTTCAGGCCTCCTACACGTGGAGAACTTCATACCCCTGAGCAGCTGGGTGGGGGGCAGTCCACGCAGGGCTTCAGGGGGTCTGTGAACACCCATAACATCGTATGCAATAGAGACATTTGAACGGATCCCGGTGCCATTGAATGGTATGTCCGGGTTGGCGTAACACGTTAGGAGAGACCAGAACTCCGTCTCTCCCAGTTAGGCAGATTAAAGAGAGAGAAAAAGAAGAAGGACATTGCTCTTGATTGCATGGGAAAGCAGTAGCCCCCACAGCAATGATCACAGAGCCTGCCTCCGTCAGCTGGAGGGGCACCGTCTCATTAGCCAGGGTGCCGAGTCGCCGCCGCACGGCCTGCTGGGAGCTGCCTCCTTGCCAAGTGCCTGCTCCATAATTAAACACAAAATCCCTGGCTCTTCAAGGGGCGGCCTGCCCCTCCTGTGGGGGGGAGGGGCGGGGGAAGGGTGAGGCCTTGATCTGACCCTGCTGGGGGAAGGGGAACGGAGGGCTGTGAGTTGTGAGTGGGGGTCCCCAGGACCCTCCCCTGAGCTGGGGAAGCAATTTGTGAAGTTCTTAGGGAAAGGAAGTGAAAGAGCATGGAACGAGAGGAGGGACCGGGTCTTCTCCCCACCCGGACCCCCAGGACCCACGGAGGGCAAATGCGCCACACTGGCTTCTACAGAGACTTCTGAGCTGGGCACGAGGAAGTGAGGTCCTAGAAAGAGAGGTGTTGGAAAGTCTTCGCTCCAGGTTTGCCTGAGAACATCTAAGCACCCACACACCACACACACGTTCCCACCACACACACACACACACCCCACATACACACACACAGACATGCACACCATATAGCCCCCCACACATTCCCCATACATACACACACCCACCACACCCACCACACACACACATACACACACACACACTCCATTGGTTTGTAACCAGAAGGGGGCTGACAGGGATGGATTCTGGGAGAAGAGGTTGGACAAGATGGCCCCCAGGGACTTTTGTAGCCAAAACCGGAGGAGGGAGTGGGCTGGTTGGCAGGTGCCCAGACCAGCTCTGGAAATACAACAAGACGTGTGTAGGAGAAACCATTTGACAAGCCCTTTTAGGGTACAGGTGAGCTCTCCTCATGGTCAAGTCTGCTCTAGTGACAAGATGGTGGGGTTGGTAGACCGCAGTGTTTTTGCTCTGCTCAGTGGGGAGCACACACTGACTGGGAAAGCCAGAGGTCTTCTGTGCCCACCCCCACCAAGCGCTTGTCCTCTCTGCTAAATCCACTTTGAAAAATACTGAAAAGGTATCCTGGGCACCCGTAAGTCTCTAGCCAAACATGATCTCCAGCTGAAGGGCAGAGACGGCGCACCCTACCAAGTGTGGCTGTTGGGGGGAGGGGTGCAGTGTGAGGATGGAGCTAAGGGAGAAAGGAGGTGGGAGAGAAGGCAGCTGGCTGGAGTCTGGGGATGGGGTGCCTACACCCCTCCAGAGTTAGCCGGTCCCCTGCTGGAGTGGTTTGGGCCTCAAGGACTCGAGGCTCCAAGCTCCAAGCTCTAAGCTCCGGCTCCAGCAGCTGGATCCTGATGGAGGACAGAGCCACAGAGCAAATTATTCTACACAGGCCAGAAGGCAAGTTCACGGCGAGCAGAGACTGGGAGACCCAGAGGCCAGAGCCTCTGAAACCAGGGCACGGATAGAAGACGTGTGTGCTGTTTGGCATACATTTGCAAGGCCTTAATTGTTAAAACAGAGCAGCTGGGTGGATAGCCAGTGCCCAGCTGCAGCCCAGAGAACTAACTGCCCACAGTCAGAAAAGTGCCCAGAAACCCCTCTGGCCCCTGCCCCCCCTCCCCTGTGGTTATCCTGACTCTGATTGACCCCAGGTCAACACTGCCACCCCCAGTCTGGGGAAAGGGGGAGAGGCCAGGACAGCCTTACAGTGGTGACTCACACGCTGGCCTCTGAGGCTAGCACGGCCCTGAGAAAGGCCTGGGCAGGATGTGCCTGTGGCCCGCTGGGATCAGCAGAGAGCCCTGGGCCACCACACCGCACCGTGTGAACCCAGCCCTAGAGTCACAGCTCATTTCCTGGGGGCTCCTCCCAGACCCACTTCCCCTTTTCCTGCTGCCTGGGGATGGGTGGGGGCCCCAGAGCCGCCAGGTGTGGCCCAAGGGATGAGAGTGGGGCCTGGCAGACGGGAGGGGTC